CTGGCACCCCTCCCGCACCAGCACGCTGTCCTCGAAGCTGGCGTCCAGCTCCAGCTCGTGCAGGACCCCGCGCACTTGCCGCAGGGCCAGCCCGTCGCTGCAGGCACAACGTGGCCCGTCAGCATCGCTGGCACCCCGCACCTGCGGCGCCGATGGAGGCAGCATCATCCCACAGCACGGCACGGCTCCCCCCGGCACTCACATCTCGATGGTGGAGAGGAACTTGGTCTGGAAGATGTCCCTGGTCTGGAGCTTGGGCGAGGGCTTGCCCCGGAATAGGATGTGCTTTTCCACCAGCGCCAGCAGGATGTAGCGCACAATCTCGCCCAGGTACATGCCGCTGATGAGCTTCTCGAACCTGCCGGCAGGCAGCCTGTGCTGGGCATCGCCAGCCCCCTGCGCCCGGGGAGCAGTGCCGTGCTGGGACCCTCACCCACCTCTGCTTGCCTGGGTTGATGGTTTTCTCATCCACCATGCGGTCGAAGTCAGTGAAGATGTCGTCCAGGCAGCCGTTCTCCCCAAAGGCCCCCCATTCCATGTTGATGCACATGCGGCCCTCCTCCCCCTCGACGGTGCCCACGTTCTGCATCTCCTCCATGTAGCAGGCGTTGGTCCCCGTGCCTGAGGGCACGACGCCACCATCGGCCTTTGCTCCATGTGGTCGTGCCTGGGGGGCTGGGGTGGTGGCAATAGGGACGTGCTGCCCACCCTGTGCATGGGGACGGAGAGAGCACTCACCCACGATGAGGCCGATCTCACAGCTGGGGTCATCGTAGCCACAGGACATCATGGTGCCCACAGTATCATTCACCACGGCCACCACATCCAGCCCTGTGTGCTGCAAAGCAAGTGAGAAGGACGCATGTGGCTTTGGGACACTCAGCTGGCTCCTGGGGATGGCCAGGAGAGGGATGCCAGGTCCCTGTCCCCATGCGTGGCTGTCCTGCACTGCCCCGTCCCGACCTGTTTGCGCTTGGCAGCCTCCCGCAGCATCTGCACCACGTCGTTGCCCACGCAGCCCGAGGCGCTGAAGCCCTTGGTCCAGCTCAGCAGCACAGCCTGGGAGAGCGCGACGGGAGCAGCGCGGCCAGGCGCAGCCCCAGCCCTGCGCGGCCGCGCGGCGCTGGAGCAGCCCCCTCACCTTGTCCAGGCCCAGCTGCCGGCAGGGGAAGGAGAAGGTGAAGCCGAGCGGCATGACCTGCCCCGTCAGGCCCTGCTTCTGCTGGAAGTCTATGATGCAGTCGATGATGTGGTCGAAGAGCTGGGGAGTGTGGATGCCGTGACGCAGGGCCGGCCGCAGGGTGCAGCCCCCACAGCTCCCTGCATCCCAGCCCCGGAGGGAGACACATCCCCGGTCCCGTCCC